CTAGGCACACCGTTGCTTAACTTTGGTAATAGGACAAGCGTTTTATTGACCATGAAAATTCCGATGTTTGCAATGGACACCAGAGTAGTGACATTACACGTTATCAGAAATATGTTGAAGTCAACGGAGCATCATTTGATAAGTTGTACTTTGAGTTTTTGTAGTCGTTTTTTATTGTTTTGTTTTTTGTTGGGTTTTTTGGGTTTTTTTTTTTTTTTGTTTTTAAATTACCTGTCACTTACCTTTCCAAAATGATCTTTTTATTTTTGGACACCTTAATAATAGCAACTAGCAATAATAACAGATATGCATCCTCCATCAGAGCTCCTTGCAAATCACCTAACGCATATATTTACTCTTCAAACAGTCGACATTTCAAATTATTCTAGTCTTACGTCTGCAAAGACCAGCATTAATTCGCGGTTGTCGTGGTGTTGGGAGAATGCTCACCGGCTTCTCTACCCACCTCCCGACAAATGCCTCAAATTATAAAGTTAGGGGTCATTTAAGCTGTTGCCAATGCAAATTACAATATTTTGATTTGGCTATTGCTTACCTTATATTTATCTGAATACCGGCAAAGTGTTCAGTATGTTGGTAGATAGTTGATATTGTTTGCTGAAACGTTTTAATGACGGTTTGTGTTAAGCTTGGAATGAAAACATTGTGTCGCGGTAAAGAGGATTGATAAGTGGCTGATTTTGATAGACGGTTACGTTTATACACAAACAGTTTGTCTTGCCAACAGGTGTAATATATATAGAAGTATAGCCTAAGAAAAACACTTAGGCTACCTGCTGTAGATATAGATACGAAACTCTGCTAAGTCTGTCATATGATATATTGATAGATCAAAAATTGAGGTTTAAATGTGCGATACATGCCTTATGCAACCAGTTCATGAAGGTCTATAGATTTCGATGATGTGAACAGGCTAGGAGGAACGACCCATAAGAAGTCAACAGTGTCTCATACGAAGAAGCACAGGAAACGTGTTTGATGCGGCGTACAGATCGAAAAAGATGGCGATAACAAATCAAATATAAAACTTTGAAAAAAAAAAAAAAAGAAATTCGAAACATAACCAACTATCAAGGAAATCAATATTTCTTTTTTAACAAACTGGTCATCAGTACCCAACATGCCTAAAATATATGAAACGAAGAAAAGAATGTTGAACTGCTGTGTAATATCAGCCGTCCTATATGGCAGTGAATAGTGAAAATGCCTTCCAGAAGTTAAGCAAAGTATTAACAGGAAAATTTCCTTAGCAGTCCAGCACTCTTGTTTCTATGCATTATCGTATTAATTCCTATATAGCAGTGAATAGCAGGACAATTTCCTCACAGATGAATGGAAGGCCTGAGGCAACAGGTGCTAGAAGGATGCTGAGTGCGCCATGGCTGGGGCATGTGAGCAGTGAAGAAGTTTTAAGGAAAATAGAAACAAAAAGAAGTTAGAATCACAAAGAAACACAGAATGAGGAAAGAGGACTTGGAGAATTCGACAAGCACAGGACATACCGAAAGCAAGAGAAGCAGAAAGGCTAACAGTAACCTACCTAACGATCTTGTATAAAATAATGATTGAACATGATCTGGGGAGATAAGGTGGGACAAACATTGCTAGAAGGAAAACTATGCATAATCTACTTAGCCAGCAGAGTTACAATGCACAGGAAATTTGTGAAGAGCTATGATCGCCAACGTACTAAAGAGACATGACACATTCTCTGTATACAGCTGTTTTATGCTCCTGTGGATGGGTCGATATGAGTTTCTTTTTGTGCAAAATACAAAAGGAGGTACCCGACTTTCCTAGAAAACTTCACTCTATCTGTTTTTACGACCATATATTCTCATCTAAACAAGAAACTCATTCAAGCGTTTTCTCATTACTCTCTTTCTTCCTTATGGAAATTTGGTCCAATCATCAGTAGATTTCATTGTGAACGGAGTTCCTTTTCAGATCATAAATTCTTTTTCTCTATAAGTTATTTTGCAACTAAAACTGTTCTGTTAATTTTTTTCTTTCTTTTTTTTTTGTAATAGATAAAACAGCTGTTAATGGAAGAACATTTTTATTTGTTTTTGTTATTTTAAATTTTAACATATATTCTCAACGATAAACCTACGACCAGGCTCATGCATTATGTCATCGCAATAGCAGCACAATGCAGTATACGAACTAATAGAGAGAATATATTCGGAGTAGGGTGATTTAACATCTAGCAGATTTTCACGATCACGAGACCCGTAAACCATCAGGATCGTAGGGGCACCACCTGTGCTGCAGCAATAGTGTTTCCTGGGCAAGTTAACCTGATGGAACCCAACCCACCCTAGGCTGGTTTTGAATAGTTTTTCCTTCTATGTGACCGGTGGCCACATATGGCTATAAGACCCAGTCTTCCCCGTGGTGATGGGGTGAGATGGATTCATACCTTTCCCAAATATATGAATCCATCTCTGTTGCAGACGTAGCAATTGATTCAATATATTCTACTTCATACCAGTGGAAAACGTTAGGCCCAAAAGACTCAACAAGTCACTTTCCTGGAGGTTAGCATTAGCCATGCTGATGGAAGTGGGGAAGGGATCTCTTAGATAATTAAAAGAGAGTAGTTTCGTTTTAGAGGTGCTAAAATGAACAAGCCTAACAGAATGTAGGTTATCTTTGCTGTCGTTTTGACCTTATCGAACCGATCAAAGTTACTATTAAGACTGGAATAACTGTAAAGTTACCATGTTTGATGCAAATAAATATGGTTCTATAAAGTTTAACACTATCCACCTCACCCGAATAGAAACGTTCACTTCTACGAAATTAATGCAATTCATTTCCTCTTTATCGTTTATGTCACTAAACTTTTACAATTGTTATTTAAACTTTGTTAAAAGTAACGCTAATATTTTCGAATAGTAAAAAGAGCTGTGTATTTTCAAAGAAGATATCTTCTAAGACTTCTAGCGCCAACGTTTTTTTGTTTTGTTTTGTTTTTGTTTTTTGTTTTTTTTGTTTTTTTCGGTGATGTGCATTGAAGCCAGGAATAGAACAAGAGTTTAACCAGAAATTAAATAGCATCGCCGGATTTCAGTTACTATCAGGACTTGGTTAAAAGGGTGGGTTTCGAATAAGCGGGGGCGTGGAAAAATTTGAAGAGGTGGGAAAGATTAGTTCAGAAAGATTAGTTTATTTGAATGAAAGAATGTATGTGAATACAAAGCAAATTGTTTAAAGAGTTAAAACCATTTTCTATAAATATAATACATATAATTTTTTCAAAGCATGTTTCGAGAATAGTCGAAGACAACAATCAAAAGTCACTCATGGTCTGTCTGCCATACATTAAAGGTACCTTCTGGAAAGATTCAAAAGTTCTGCGGTTCATACAATGGAGTATCCAAAAGTAATTCAATACATCAGATTTATTTATGTCTCTCTCTCTCTCATATATATATATATATATATATATATATATACACTATTTACATTGTTCGGACTATCGTCCTCATCTTTGTTGCCATATTTATCACAACGTTTCGGCCGTTGTACGCTCCGGCCTTAAACAGGTATTGAACTCACATTCTTTGGGTCCTGTCACTGGATCTAACTAACGCCTTTATCCACTGTGCCATGTGTTCAGTTCGAACCAAGAGAAAAGACAAAAAAGCAAAAGAATTAGAGAAGTAATTTCAAAATTACACAGATACATGCGTCCTAAAATTAAGGATGGGAGAGACATTGAAATCAGTCATGGCTGATCATATATATTTAAACAATTCAAAGCTATAATAAAACGCAAGGGAATGAAAATACATTAGAAGGAAAATGAAACAAGGGATAAACCTCTACTTCTGTTCAAAGTACCGGGAAGGAATGTGAGTACGGATGGAAAAGGGGTGGGTCCTCCATTCCTGTGGAATGAAGTCAGGATAATACAGAACACTGGGTGATAAGACGACTGAAAGAATCTAGGCTCATGTTAGAAACTAACAACTTCCTCAGTTGATCCGGCATTATGATCAATATAATCTGGGAAGCTTATTAGGAAAAGATTGCTTCGTCCACCGCGAGGAAAGTTGGCTCTCTGTGCCGCGCCAGGAAATTTTTCTCCCCGGAATCGATACTTCAAATATACAAATCAACCATTCAATCTTGCACGGAGTATTGCTGCCATATATGGTCTGGTGCACCTTCTGTTTACCTCAGAGTTCTTGACAAGATCCAGAGGCAGATATGTAATATAATTGGCCCTGATCTGGCATCTCGTCTACAGTTGCTCTCTCACAGACGCGCCGTCGCCTCTCTCTGTCTTTTTTACAAATACTTTCATGATAATTGCTCCGATGAGCTGCTTTCACTGGTTCCCAGACTTCATGAATTCAAGCGCCCTACGAGGCTGGCATCCCGCTCTCACCCTTACACTGTAGAAACTTTTAAATGTAGCCGTCTCTTCTACTTCAATAGCTTCATACCTCGCATCTCTCGCTTGTGGAACACCCTTCCCTGTTTCCCTGAGAGCTATAATCTCCAACTATTCAAATGTAATGTCAATCGACATCTCCAGTTCCTTGATCTATCCACTATCCTTCTCCTCGTCCTTTCCTCTATCACTCCTATCTGCTCTCGCTCCAAATCTTCTGCAACCCCCTGCATCCTAGTGGCTTCACGTCTTGCTCAGGGCGTAATGCTTAAAAAAATTAAAAAAAAAAACAAAAAAAAAACGCACAAGTTGAATATAACCACCTGGGTTTGAACACTCACACAGTTTCATTACCTGAGTACAGACATTTTTTTAAATCCCGAAATTTTACCATTTGGTCTATGGATGACAGCGTTGGTTAAAACACATATCGTTTCTTGACAGATGTGGGTTCAATCCCTAAGTCTGGTGGTACCGAAATGCCACAAACAGGAAAACTGATAATTAGTTAATATAAAAGCGTAGAATGAGAACAACGTATCCCCATGGATTGAATAAAGAGTTCGGTTTCAAATTCGAAGGTTACCGAGTACTACGACATACACCTGAATAAAAGCCAAACACGGAGAGCATATTTACATTATTCGGAATGTTCATCTTCATTACCATATTCACAACGTTTCGACCGTTGTACGCCCCGTCCTTCTTCAGATGATTGGAATTTCGAACCGAACCTTTTATTTCGTCCACTGGGGTACATTGTTATAGTCCGAATAATGTAAATAATCATAATACCTATTCTCAGAGATATTGAGAGTATAATAAACAAGGGGACACCTGAAGAAGGCCGGAGTGGTCAACAGCCGAAATTACATGGCGTATAATAAACAAGATAAATATGCTGGTCCGAATAGCATAGAATATAATAATAATTCAGGTTTAAATTAGTTCACCCCATCAAGGCGATAATGACACTAAGACGCAAGGGGGCTACTGGGAGTTAAAGAGAATGAAGAAAGAATTTAGACGAAACCAGAAACCCAGTCCTAAACCGAAAACAAGGGATAAACCTCTACTCTTGTTGAAAATGCCGGGGAAGAGTGTGAACCGGACGATAGGATAAAGGGGCTAATTTGGTAAATGGGACATGAAATGTTAAGCAACCTCCTCCTTTTTTTTTTCTTTTTTAAACAGACAACGATAACTATATTTACTACTACCACGATTTTTACCACGACAAGATTGTCTCGGCAGTTCGCTGACTTTCAAGTTCATAGCGATTTACAAAGCGCAGCTTAAATATGGCACAAGGCCGAAAATATGGAGCACCCAATGAGATCGAAGAGCCCTCACTGACTTTTAGTCATAGACTTAACTCATTTTACCCTTATCTCAATTTAGAGCAGACACGAGAAATAGTGACTAAATTTTATATTGTTATTCAAACAAGTCATCATGCATACAAAGATATTGTTAGCGTAGATGGTATCAATTGAAGGCGTATCCTCAAGTAATATGAAACTTTTTTAGACTGGTCTTAAAACGCTATGTAAACATGTTGTTTATATAGCACGCATTTCATTTAAAGTGTTATAAGTTAATGATATTTTCGACAGCATATGCAAATTTTGTTAGTTACAGAAATGAGTCGTATTTAACTGTGTTATGAAGTAGTCAACCTTTCGGTATTTTATATTATTATTCACCCAATAAAAGGCCCAAGAGTCACTTCAGGTAGAGATTCACTAAATAAGGTCGTTGTAAGAGGTGCAGATTGTGAGTCTATGTAGGATAGATAACTGTTGACTCCTAGACACTTGTACACAACGGGTAAATAGAAAAAAAATAGTGGAATAGTGTCCGAACAAACGTAAGCAAACTTTTACAGACAAAGCGTTTCGCCTCCGTCTGGCAGGCGTCTTCAAATCAGAATGAGACAGATGACGAGGTAATAAATAAACTTAACCTTATCAGATGTTACGGACAACTATAATTTTTTTTTTTTACATCTGGCTACGATCAACTGCGACCTAATAAAATACCGCCTCTTTAGAAAAGAGAAGAACTCACTAAGAGGTAAATGTATTGCATGTGCACTGATCTCACAATTCCCTCTTTAACCGCGGACCGGGCTTATACATCATCCCAAAAGCAATAGTAGCACAATACGGTAATCGAACTAATAGTTATGATGATTGACGAAACATTGCAAGCCTCTCGTTACTCTATCGCTATTTCCATGGAAAATGTTCAGACGAGCTACATTCCTTGGTCCAACCAGTTCAGACTGTAGAGAACCACCCTCATTCCATATTCAATTAGAGAGAAGTTCCACTCGAACAGCTTTTTCCGCAAAACCGCTACTTTGGGAAACCAACTCCCAAGGGGGTGCTTCCTCAGCCACTACAATCTTAACGGTTAACCTAAGACGTTAACAGGTCATCTTTCCCATATATTCTCATAAACTGAGCCTCTTACACTTTCCGGTCACAAAAAAAATTTCAGTAATCTTATACCTTGAGTGGCTTTTGGGCCTTGTATAACATTAAAAGAACAAAAACAATAACCCACTTGGGATGGGCTAATTTTAAATCGACCAGACATTAATGGCTTCAATATGAAAATATTCATTATACTTTCCTTAAATTTCATATACATATATTATATTCGCGTATATCCAAATCTAAATCTTTGCAGGTAATTAAATAGTTAATAATTATATCTTTGCAGGTAACTAAATAGCTTTTGTTTTTAACATTAGGTTATTCTCGCATTCATCTTGACGTAGGCGTATAATAGCGCACAAAAAAGTATATATTAGGTACGTTTCGCTGAAAACAAATATAAGTTCTAAGCAGTTATGTAATATCAATCCTCTTATGAGGCAATGAATGCTGGACACTTTTCCTCATACACGAAGAGAAAACAGAAGAACGCTGTGTATACCATAGACTGAGGGTTTTTTTTTTTTAAGGAAAATGGGTATGGGAACACTTTTGTTTAAAATCGGAAAGAGTATTTATAATTTCTAGGGCACATAATGAGAAGAGGTCTAGGGGGTTTAACACTCACAAGGCATGCTGAAGGCAAGAGGTACGGAGGGAAATGGTGTGTATACTTGTGTAAATGGATGACAGATCATGAACAGGGAAAATTAGTAAGGAGACAAACATTGCTTAGGGCTACAGTATAGAAATTGTGGAGAGTCATGATCACGCAAATATTGAAATGAAACTGAACATAAAAGAAATGACAATTTCCTGTTGTTTTTTTGTTTTTTTTTAAATCAGGCCAGCACAGCAAGGCAACAATGTTATAACAATGCAGCAGTGAACGTGTTCATACGCCCAAAGTTTATTAGTCTTACCAAATAAAGAATTAGTTGGTGTTAAATAGTAAAAAAGATTGGAATCCCTAAGTATAACAAAAAGGCAACCAGTTCTTTGTTTAGTCAACTTTTATTAACCAGATAATTTGGCTAAATTTAGTTATATATATATGTGTGTGTGTGTGTGTGTGTGTGTGTGAGAGAGAGACCCCCCACCACCACCAAAAAAATGTATGCACACTTCAGGAAAGGAAAAACTGTCTTTCGTAGATTTATCAAATTGCGATAACACTCTCTACTGACGTACAATATTTTCTCGACAGATGGCATTACATCGGCGGCCTTAGACAAGAGATTGAAAATGCATGTGCACCATCTGACTGAACACTTTGACCAACGTTGCCCAAGCAGTAGTTCGGCGTACTGGGCGCTAAAGTCCACAATTTTGAACATCTCTTGTGATTGTAGAGTCCAAATATAACATTTTTATTTAGAATAAATTTAGTATTACAATATCTATACAAGTTTTTCCTTTCCTGAAATGTGTATACATTTTTTGGACGGACTCGTATATATACCAAGTAATAAACAAAATAACTTGTGCATTGATCATAACTTATTTCGCTCATACAGTTTTCGAAATACTTTGTGCGTTGTTGTTAAATATTCTTCAAAACTTGTTCGTTTTTGAATAACATTAGCAAAATATGTTCACCAATGTTTTGTTTCTAACAGCTCCTTGATCTAAACGTGTTCGTAAACTGGTCTCTTCCCATGATTTCCATATTTCTAAATTCCTTTGTAGCTTTGTGTTTTTGTTGTTTTTTCCAGTTAAAAAAATATTTCTTTTGTCATGTATATTTTCTCATATCTGAATAAAAGTAGTTGGGTGCAGCTTCCGTTAAGAAATAATTTCTCCTTTTGTTCTGATAGCAATGCTTCTGAAACTGAAATTCGATCTTTATTTAAAGGGTTTTGTTTCAGTTTTCACCATCTAAAACTGAAAGTTAACACAGAATGATTCAAACGCTTAATCCAAAATTACAAACTGAGATTTCAACTTCACATTTACCGCACTTTTTGACGTATGCATGTAGAGAATTCGCAGTGCAGCACAGAGCTATGTCGATATAGAATAGTAGAAGTTAGTACCTTTTCACAATTATAGCTTCATTTTTTTTTCTATGCACTTTTTTAATAGTTGTCTTATATTACATGTTATAATAGCTATTCTTCAAGGATATTTTATTCTTGACCCCCCCCTCCGCAGAAAGCTTGACATCTTAAAGTTGTATTGCTCGGCCCACGTTTTACCAGAGTTAAGTATCAAAAACTCTGTGACTGCAACTGGCTAATGAAGAAGGCTGTCGAAGCGGCAGTTAATCCGTTCAGCATTTTATATTTGTCTGTCAAGGATCTAAGCCATATATGTATGGATGACATAGCAAAATAAGTTATGTACATATGCTGTATTTGTGTTCCCTGTTTCTTTATGTCGTACTAAGGACATACATACATACATACATACATACATACACACATATATATATAGTGATTTTCCAAGCGTAGCTTAGATGTGGCACAAGGCCGAAAGTATGGGTTACCCAACACACACACAAACACACACACATATATATATATATATGTGTGTGTGTTAAATACCATACACACACACACACATATATATATATATATATATATATATAATATATATATATATATATATATATATATATATATATATATATATATATATATATATAATGTGTGTGTGATGTAATAGGAAAGAACAGTCAAATAATAATCCAAAGTTCTTTAGTATTTGTTTTATTTTTAAAAAACAGTACTCGATACAGAAGTGGAGGTTAAATTATAATTATTTTTTTTCAAATATGTTTCTTATATATATATATATATATATATATATATATATATATATATATATATATATATATATATATATATATAATCAATTATAAATTCATAAGTACATTGTGTGCTATTGTAGCATGCCGTCTACCACAATGTTTCTAATTAGCTCTTTCATAATAGAATTTTTATTAAAAATTTAAAAATCTATAAAAGACATTTAAATAGATTAAGGTTTATAAATAATTTGTACCCATTTGTAAAAAAGACAATATAACCAAATCGGTTTTCCAGCAAAAGTAGTCATTAGAAATTCGTAAAATTCTTTGCCAAACATATTATTTATGGAGTCTTATACTTCATTATTCACTTCAATCTAGTTTGAATGCTTTACTTGGGACCAATGACTCACGGGAAGGCTTATGACACAGTTACAGAGGTCAGCCACATACTGCAATAACATTAATCGCTTCTTATAGGTTTTTAAAAATATGCCTATTTTTGGTTATGTAAATTAATTTAACATAAAGCAAGAATGAAGACTTTTATTATTATATTTGGAATTTTTCTTTTTGACATGCAAAATTTGTACTTAGTGTTTCTGGCAGGTTGACAAGCGTAGAATATTACTGATAACTGGAAGGTCGTGATATAATACAAATAAACAATTTATAAGTAGTAAGTATATTTGTATCTACCTATGCTAACCAGATGATTCAATATTAACTCTGTTTAAAATAACGCAAGTTAAATTATCAGGATTTAAATATAATTATTGCCATCAGTCATCTTCAATAAAATGAGAGGAAAAATAAGAAAAAAGGGGTATAGTCACTATAAATAGTAACTCGAAAAAAAAACCCAAAAAAAAACAGTAGGCTACCACAATAAAGGTATTTGGTTTTAATCATAGAAAAATAGGACGGGGTTAGATCTGGAAACCCTGAACTGCAGGGAAGAGTAAAATTACTGAAAATAACTTTTGCATTTGGCCTATTTAGACTCCTTCCGGTGTGTTTTCGTAACGAAATAGATTAAGGACATGTCATATGCTCTCTACTCACCCCCGCCAATACATATGAATAGAGGTCTATATCATTATTTTCTGATAAATACGAGGAAAGATCTGTTGAAAACTGATATTTGGTACCAAAAGCAGATAATAATCAATTTAATGTTTGAAATGAACAGATTAGGTTTTAAATATCTCCCCGAGAACAATTCTTTACATTTTGCAGGTTTAAACTGATTTAATATTTGGGAATTTAGTCTAAAAGAGAGAAGAAAACACTTTGTCCATGATATTTTTGTCAGTCTTCTTCGAAGGTTGGGGATCAAGGACAAAAAAGCAGGCAAAGATTGGGTTAATTTTACTGAATTTATTACCCACAAATCCACTTGATGTAGGTCATTTTAGAAAGTGCGTAATTTTTTTTCATTTATGACAAATAATTTAACAAAATTCCAATGAATTTTCTAGCAAAAGTAGGCAGAAAATGCAACTCTTCAGAAATTGTTTGATCGATTTGTTCGTTTTTACGGCTTATCAACCCTTTGTAGGTTATTTAAAGCTAGAAAATATTTTTAGATTGTAAGATTTTTGCTGTTGAGATAATGATATAGTGATACAAGTCTTGCTAATTAACTCATATCTGGGGGGAGAAGAGGTGGATTCATACGTTTCCCAAGAGGATTTGCGCGTAAAGTGAACATAACGAACCCAATTGAAACTCGGCTCTCTGATTAACAATTCCGAGCCATTATCCATTATACCATCCACCCATCCAAGCTAACAGCACCTGGTATTCCTAAGCGGTTACCCATCTAGGTACTGACCAGGCTCGACGTTGCTTAATTACAGTGATCCTATGGGAACCGGTGTTTCAACGTTATATGGCTGTAAGCTAACTCTTCAGAAATGGGAATCTGAAAGTAAATGATTAAACATACAAGAATTTTAACTTCAAATGATCTTAACTTCACAAATACTTGTGCTTAGAATAAAGTTAGACCAGTTCTGAAATACTGGATCTACTTTCACTCTATATAGCGCAGATCAATCACTTTGGAAAATGTTCCAAAAATAATGAATGTCTACTTACGAACCCATAGCACTGTTTTGTTTTTAGTTGTTTTTGTTTTCTTTATATCTCCCCCACTTTTTGTGTGATGCTTACCTCCCACCCCCTTTTTGTGTGATGTTTACCTCCCACCCCCTTTTTGTGTGATGTTTACCTCCCACCCCCCTTTTTGTGTGATGTTTACCTCCACCCCCTTTTTTGTGTGATGTTTACCTCCCCCCCCTTTTTGTGTGATGTTTACCTCCCACCCCCTTTTTGTGTGATGTTTACCTCCCACCCCCTTTTTGTGTGATGTTTACCTCCCACCCCCTTTTTGTGTGATGTTTACCTCCCACCCCCTTTTTGTGTGATGTTTACCTCCCACCCCTTTTTTTTGTGATGTTTACCTCCCACCCCTTTTTTGTGTGATGTTTACCTCCCACCCCTTTTTGTGTGATGTTTACCTCCCACCCCCCTTTTGTGTGATGTTTACCTCCACCCCCTTTTTGTGTGATGTTTACCTCCCACCCCCTTTTTGTGTGATGTTTACCTCCCACCCCTTTTTTTGTGATGTTTATACACTTTGTTACTTTCTTTCAGATTTTCCTCAGTTTACTGGATGTCTTTTCATGGCAATAATTAGATTTTGTAACACTATGAAAGAAAGCTTTAGATATCAATCTCTGAAAATGGTGTTCATGCGATACAATCCAACGAAATTTAACAGTATCAATGCACTTAAAAATTTTGACCAATTTTGTGGCACCTAATTGAATTGTAATTTAATATAACATACAGTAATTCTTCTAAGTTTATCAATCAGTAAAAAATAAATTATTTGATCATTTTCTTTTGAAAAAGTCACATTTGTGTCTTCGGCTAAAAACAAAGGAAATACTATTAAAACTACGAAAATATTCGAAATTTTTAAATTCTATAATTACTTAATACAATTTCCCGAATTTCCATTAGTAGGAATTTGGAAGATCTGCTGGGTCATTTCTTATCTGAGTTCATATAGATATTTACTTGAACCCCCCACCCCGAGTCAGGTTGTGACACAAGGTCAGTTTTTAACGTGGGGAACCGAGTGTTTTCACACGGGCCGCTGGTCTAAGCTGGTCATAGCTTGGTCAGAGCTGGTCTAAGCTAGTCATAGCCGTGTTACCACCAGCACAGGGACGGAGCCCTGTGTCAGGTAAGTATCTATCTAATTTCATATATAGAACGATAGTCTTATCGGAAATTGATTATTAATCGAAGCCATATGAGCACGAGTTGCATTTATTAAACAAGTACATCGAAATATTCATTAATTTTAATAATTAGCTTTTTATGAAAACATGCCTAAAAAATCCATTGCACATGATGATAATGATATTAATAATAAATTTTGGCGGTAATGGATGAAGAAAGTAAACCACAATTACGATTGTATTTTAGCGTCGACCACCTTTGAACGCGTTATACGTAGTTAAGATTTCGCTTCTTATCACTACTCAATGATGTTACCACTGCTCAACTTATTGACTTATCAATTGCCATTATTCACACACTGTTTTTGACGGTAGAAAAAATTAAATTGCTGAATATTGCAACTTCTTAATAGAAATACCTTTTAGAAAATTTCAGAAGTCTGTATGCTTTCGAACGGAAAAAGCATGAAAGGTGGATGTCAATGGTCAGGAATGAATGCGAAAATTACAGATTGAATATTGCTGCTATATTTACAATTGGATAAATTTATCTGTCTGGATGCGTATTTTTTTTATCTTTTATTTATTTAATGTTTAATGTCCCCGCCACTTCATATTGGTCCTGACCTGGCATCTCGGCTTCAGTCACTTTCCCACCGTCGTAATGTTGCTTCCCTCTGTCTTTTCTATAAATACTTTCATGGTAACTGTTCTGATGAACTTTCAACAATGGTACGTAAGCTTTATCAATTTAAGCGTAGTACTAGATTGGTGTCAAAGTCTCATCAATTCAGTTGAATTAGCTAGATGCAACCGTAAGTTCTATGTTAAGTCTTTTCTCGCACTTCTCGCTAGTGGAACTCTCTTCCAGTTCCATGCTTTCCAGTCAACTTTGATCTTAAAAAAATTCAAATGCAATGTCAATCATTGTTTACAGTCTTCTTGATTTACTCTCTTCTATTGTTCTCCCTCCTTAATAATGCTTCTCTTTCCTTTTCTTTCTTACTCTTTCACACTCTGTAACCCCTTTTGTTTTAGTTGCTTTACTGTTTAGCATGGGGTGGGCTGAGTGGTTAGAATGTTCGCATTCTGACCATGAGACCCGGGTTCGAATCTCACCATGGTCGATTTGTCAGGAAGGAGACTTCCTTGTGTTATCGGACTGGAGGGATCGATCCCAGCTTGCGGCACCTTTTGGAAAGTACCTGAAAACCATACCACGGGTTGTCCCAAGCCTTGTGAGTAAAATTGGGTAGACGGAACCCTTAGGTGCCGTCGATAGCTGTGCTAGCACGAAGTCTCAAGTCATCGTGACCGAGGCTGGCTTGTTCAAATTGTTGCTCACTCTAGTTCCCAGAAACTGTAACTCAGCATAGTTGCAGTATAAACCACAGATAGACTCTCTGGGTGTTGAATAAACACAAATGCGCCGGAGTAGGCGCCTGCAATAGGGATTGGCTAGCCGCCCTAATTGATGGGTATCCTCGAATACGAGTGGCCAGCTATACATACATATATATATACATACATACATACATGGGTGATATGATTAAAAAAACAAAACATTTCAGATTTAAATGACCTTGCCTTATATTTTTTTATTTTATTTTTAACTCTTTCGCGATGATAGTGGACAGTCCAGCATTGTATACAGAAGTTTTAAAAATCAAACAATATATGCCTCCTACCACTTAGCGAAGATGTTCTCATTACTTTTTTTTTTTTTTTTAAATCTAGTCTGGTATTCACACTGTGAATTATTGTTAATTATTAAACAAGATTTAGCTAAGAAAGACCAATGATTACGATGGAAGCTATTTAAAATCAATTCCTACCAGTTCACATTACAAATAGCATAAAATCTGTATTTGTTTCTCATTGCATCACAAACGGCGATATATTTATAATCACGTGACTGTGAATTAAAAATAGAGAAACAAACCCATCAGCTTTCACGAATAACAACATTTTCACAAACTGCCACCTCCACACGATAACGTATGAACACAATAACGATAACGTAAATACGAGAAATTCCCATCAATAAACCCTATATAGAAGAGTAAAGAGCAAGATGTTTTGAAAACTGTCGGTCGGATTTAACTGAAACTATCATTTACA